TAATTATTAAGAGTTGAAAGAAATAATACTTATTTTATCTATTTCTGTTCATGACGTGACTGACATCTTGCAGTACATTGTGTGATTGTGTCACTCTCAATACCATAACAAAACACTCCAATTGCTGTGCGCTGATATAAACAAATTGGGTAAAGAAATAATTAACATTTCGAACAATTTTAATCATAGTTGATTCTCTTACTGAAACACTGCATTTTCAGAGATTGTTTTGTGTGCTCCAGTATCATATATATCGTTTGACATTTTGTTAGCTGTTTTACACTGCTGTCAGCAATATTCCAGCTATCTATATATCACAGCGGTATATCAAGTCTGAACCAGACAATCCAAGGACTGATATTATGAGAACCGCCCCATGCCATCAGGGCCAGAGAAACAAGTGGGTGATATATGTATGGGGTACATCAACACATGTATCTTCCCATCAAGCAATAGAGAGCTGGGGACGTATTTTAACTCTATGATGTCTGTGAGCCAGTGGTGATCTCCCAAGGTCATCACCCATGCAAGAACTGTCCAAATCAAGTGGCCATTCTGTCCACATCAATCCCCATCTCGTGAAAGGAAACTTATTAACTTTCCCAAACCCCAAGGGAGACCTGCGTGAGTTACTTGGGGCTTTTTCTGCATATGGGAAGAGAAACAGAAACCAACTCAGAGATAACTGTTCGAGGGAACCAATCCACTCTGTTAATCCAAATGGTGTCCTTTCCTAGTCCTACATCTGACTAAACTCATTATTATAGTTTTTCATAGATTTAACATTAAACACACTTATGAAAACAATAACAAGCATTTAGGAGCTAGTTCCGAGATTCAATATTGCTTTAATTGAATTTTCTGAACTACACAACTCTGTGATGCAATAAAAGTGCAAAATTATTGCCATTTACTCTGTAATGTATTTTCTAACCACATCCTGCCTGCAATTCCTTGTCCATTTCACCACACACAATGGATCACGTTAATGGCAATCTACAACTGTCGAAGCCAACGTACTGATTTTGTGTTCTTGTCAGACTTACTGCTCCCATTATCATGTCATACAAGACTCCATTCTGTTTATTTTCAGAATATTTTCAATTTACCCTTCCAATCAGTGCAAGGAGGTCCAGAATAAAAAGTACATAATGGAATTGTTGACACCGCAATCTCAAGCCAGTTATCATGAACCAGTTGTATGGTGAAGTTAATTAGTTGTGAAAGAGGAAATGAAATGAAATCCAGCCTATCTTCATGCTGTAAAGGACAGAGCAACAATCCCATCACAGGGGTACGATGACACTCAATCAACCAATTCACCAAGCCTTAGACCACCCGTTTCATTTACTTGCCTCTTACGACCAACATGGGATGCTGGGGACCTTTTATAACACAGACTTCTCCAAAATTCAAATCTCATACTTACCCATAATAAACTTAGGATTAACTCATTCATAATACACATAGACTCGAAAGTTTGACTAATATCAGATATTGATCGATACAAGGCAAAACAAGTATTAAAAATATATGAATAAAACTTCATATCAATGTGAAACATATATTGTTCTTGCATTGCTGTATATAAATATTACATACTACTGAAGTAAACAAGGCCTTCTTTCGCTGCCTCCACAGAAACAAGATCATTATCATGTTTGCGTTCCATTTCCACAATAAATTAACACAACACGTTTCTTACACAACTTAATCCAAAAGCAGATAACTCCCTTTTTAAACCTTCCTTTTTGACAATGATTAATCCATATATACTACATTGACAAAGCTAGAGTAAATATTTCTGCTGACAAGAATAACCACTCCTCCATAGTTTCCGTAACAGCCCTGAAGTGTTCAGCGTTAAGCAGCTAGGCAATCAACAAGCTGTGTACCCCCTACTGTCATCCCTTACCCCCAGTCCTCCACACTCCACCCCCTACCTTTTCACACCTGGGACACCTGTCTGCATTAATCAGTAACAGGTACAGACACCAGGTGAGGTCATTCTACTTTTCTGTTAATTAATTAACACAGGATTTGATACAGACTTCACAGTTCAATTTTTTCCCTTTGTAGCCTTAGGTTTATTTCATTCTCCATATGGATCCAGTGAAACTGTGTTGGGTCTTTAAATATTGCTTTAGCTAAGATAAAGAGGCAAATCATATTCAATACTAAGAGTCAGCATTCTTAAAAATGATTATTGCATAAACATAATTTTGGCTCTTTAAATATTGCTTTAGCAAAGATAAAGAGGCAAATCATATTCAATCGTAAAAGTCAGCATTCTTAAAAGTGATTATTGCACAAACATAATTTTAGTGTGTACAAGTTATGTTTGAAAACTCATTTGGTTTCTCACACATAGCTTTCTAAAGGTGGCAATACATAAAGTGCATCTTCGTTGTTGACTAATCACAATACTTTTGATAATGATCTTTTCTGTGGGACAATACTATTGATACTGATATTTGCTGTGGGACAATACTATTGATAATGATCTTTGCTGTGGGACAATACTATTGATACTGATCTTTGCTGTGGGACAACATTATTGATACTGACATTTGCTGTGTTACAATACTATTGATACTGATCCATCTTGGCAAGTTATATTTGAGTTATTTTGCAACCTTTCGGCAAATGGTCTGGGAATCTATTCTTCCCACAAACACTACATTGGCCATCCTATTGGAATTCAATAATGTGATTAAGGGCCTTCAAATTTCTTCCTGATCAAACAAGATCATTATAAAAAAAAATGAAAAAAAGGTATTTTGGTGAACTACGAACACTTAATAAGAGTGATATAAAATGCCTTCACTAAAATCTTGTAAGCATCACGTGATAACAAATCAGATAAGGTCAAACCCTTTGGATTATCAATATGAACAAGACTGACATGATTGATGAATGATAGATAATCAATATTGATTGATATTACCATGAAAAAAATTCTCATATAAAGTATGTTGGTATATGTTAGCATGTTATTTATGTAAAGTCAAGATACCCATTCAGAAAGTAGAATTTTATTAATTCCTTCTGTCAGACTGAAAGATTCAAGTTATATATTGTTAACAGGTTTTGGAAGAAAATAATAGTACTGCAGTATAAATACAAATTAAGTTGGACCCTTGCAGTTTTCAACATGAAACAGCAAAACATGTCTGCCATTACAGACAGTGAGTGAGTGAGTGGGTTGGTGGGTGGATGGATGAATAGGTTTTGGGCCTGAAAGCTGCTTTGATCATAAACCACTTTGATGAAATCAAAGAGCATGTGTATGGTGCTGACAATCAAAGAAACATTATCAGGGTGAACTGGGATCAAACAAGCTGAAGGGACACTATTCCGCAGACCGAAATGCAGTGTCGTAGATGGCTGGGCCATGCATGCCCCCAATGGTTCCAGCAGTCTTTCAGGGAAATAGTTTGAGGTATTAAAGGCGACAGCTCTGATGATTGCCTTATATCAAGTTTTGAACATGTTTCAAATTAATACACATCTGTTCTGTTGTTATTCATTCAAGCCACTCATGTTAATCTCTCTCATGTATGATAATTCTTGCTATAGTTAATCCGTCACCTACATATAGTTTTGTACCATTACTAAGTCTTCCTTGACAATGGTATAAGTATCTATACTAAAATGTCGCTATTACAGTAATAACAAAAAGGTTGTTATCCATATACTGTGTCTACTTTGTCATCCATCAACTTCAAAGAAATGCCTGTCACAATTGAAAACACATCTCTAACAAAAATATTCTTTGAGAAGAAAGAATGGAAAAATAAGAATTATCAGTATCAAATCATCTTATTACATCTGTTGAAACTATCAGTAGTAAAGGGCATACAATACCCACTGATAGCATTGCTTGTCATTGATGTCTTGCCAATGGGCCTAGGTGATGGCAATGTATAGATCGTTCAGTTGTTACACCCACAAACAAATCCTATACCAAACAGCTGTATCATACTTCATTGTCAAAAAACCAATACTTAACATATATATGACTAAAAAAAGTTAAGGGCCACCTGATTCATTCATTCATGTTACTATGGTTACTAGTCATGCCATAACACTTTGTTTGTTGTTTAACGCCGCACCCAGCAATATTCCAGCCGGCGGTCTGTAAATAATCGAGTCTGGACCAGACAATCCAGTGATTGACATCATGAGCATCGCTCCACACAATTGGGATCGATGACATGCATCAACCAAGTCAGCAAGCCTGACCACCCCATCCCATTAGTCGCTCTTACGACAAGCATAGTCGCCTTTTACAGCAAGCATGGGTTGCTGAAGACCTATTCTACCCCGGATCTTCACGGGTCCATGCCATGTCAGGTTTACTATAGTAATATGAAAGAATCAGATGGTCCTTAACTTTTTCTTTTTTTTAAGTCATATATTTGTTATGTATTGGATTTTTGACAGTGAAGTGTGACACTGTTGTTTTGTATCAGATTTGTCTGTGGGTGTAACAACTGAACAATTGGTTGTCCTTAACTTTTTTTGAAAATTATATGTACCACATTATCAACTTTCAAACAAACTCTGTAAGAGTTAGAAATAACAGCACTGATATACCAGAGATAAATGCCCAGACTTTGTCTACAAAGTGTATTTCAGAACACCAATAACGGTATATTAGTGAAAGCTTGATCTCTAACTCCATGTCACATACATATCAATAAGGCCTTTTCATTACCAAGTCCAACAAGGCAGCACTACCAATTACCACCCAATAAAAACTCCTTGCCTGTGTTAATGAAATTGGCTGTCATTATTTGCTATTCCCTTCTCTAATCTGCCTCCCAATCTACCCCCTCCCAGGCGTGTGGCTTTTGCACCTACAGGTGGGTCAATTACCTGCTTACACACCTGAAAATCTCATTACTCAAAGCCTGTTTTGTAACAATGAATCAGATTTAAACCCTGCGTCTCTATTGCCTGTAGATTAATACCAGTCATGCTGTTGTGTGTTGCAGATATCCCAGCAAAGTGTCCCCAGTCATGAGGGCTTCCTGGGGTAGATTGCACACCGGTTGGAAGGAACTCACCCAGCCCTGGTGATAGCAGAGTACTTCTCCATACCCAAAACAAAGGGGGTGATAACAGGTGACGGTCATCAGGATGGATGAGAACACGCTTGCCTACCACACCAAGCTTCACCAGTGGTATGAGCTCCACAGACTCAACCGCAGTGGAGACATGGCTAGTCTCAAGCTCCCAGAGGATGGGGCTCATCTCACTCCTCAGAAGGCTGTTGAGATTGACTTGTGGAGGAAGGAGGTCAATAAGATCTTCATCAAACCAAAGAAGATTGAGAAGAAGTCCGAATTCTGGAGATGTCATATGAGCGCACCAACCTCGGCTACAAAATATTACAGCAACAATGCCGACCCGAGACGGGTCAAATCAGCCCGATTCTTCTCCAACCGAGGCAAACCGGGAGTGGTTGACATCAACGCTCTTCCGTCTCACTTGGCTGAAATGTCCATCCATTACAACCGTGAACGGAGGGGTGTTTACACTTCACGGTTCTCGGCCGAAGATCTGCTGGTGAAGGGTAAGAAGCAGGAACTTCATCTGCCGCAGTTCCTCCGGGCAATCCGAGGTCAAGGGTCAGATGAAGGAGCGAGTCACAGAGAAGGAGGCACCGATGTTTCTATTCCCCAACTTGTGCGTGACTGTGACGTCACTATCCATGAGTCAGGTATTGGCAGAGAAACAATAGACCAGGCTCCAGTGAACCGAAAAGCTCTTGTGTGTGATCGCTCTCAATCAAACAACCTCCTGAATGTTATGTCTATCGATGACTGTAAAATGGGCCTCCGATACCGGCCACAACGTGTCATAAACACCCACGAGTTGGAAAGATGTGATGATTCAACTAACGGTGACAGTAACATAGATGAAAATGGGAATGCTTATCCCTTAAGAATCAGCCAAGGTACAGGATCTGGAATGACTCCAGTCTCTCAAACACGAATCAACTCATTACTTTCAGCTCAGAAAATAAAACACAAGCATTTGGTGATAAATGGCAACAATCTGGCTCCAGAACGACCTCAGTCGGCCATCTTGGCTCGAGCATTTGACACTATCCTTCAAGAAAACTCCATGCTGTCTGCCCCACTGCACCCAAAAGAGGTCCGTTTCTTTGCTGGCAGCAAAGACATGGGGTACTCTCCCAGTGGTAAGCACATTTATCAGAGACTCAACTCCACACTTAAGAACAAAATGAACAATGTGGTAAAGGCAAGGTGTGAAGGCTTGAAGTCAAAGGACTCAATCAGCGCTCGTGTGCAATACAATGGCACGGACAGTCATAAGTTCAGTAAAAGGTCAACAGCTACAGAATCCCTCGTCTCTGATGATGCCAAACAGCTATAAATAACCTGTTTGAAATTTGTTGCATTCTCTGAGGTCACGAGGACGACAGAATCCCTCGACACCGTTGATGCCAAACAGCTATAACTAAACCTGTTTGAAATTTGTTGCATTCTCCGAGGTCGCGAGGACGACAGAATCCCTTGACTCCCTGATGATGCCGAATAGTTATTACAGTGTTGTTTGACTGAAATGTGTTACTCTCGGAGGGTCGTTTTCTGTTTTCTGAGGATAGAGATCAGTGTTGTCCATATTCTTTTCTACTGTGAGAGGGAACCTGGATTATATCATATTGGGTAGACTTATTTGTGGTAAGTTTCTTATGTACAGTATCAGAAAATTGGAGGTACTTTACAAGCAAATGGTGTTGTTGAGTTCAATGATGATTAAATGTTGATGAAATTTGTTTTGCTCTATTTACATTGAAGGGATACAAATAGGAACCATCTACATGGGTTTCATTTTTGTGTGTGAAAAACATCCTTGTGAAGTGTTTGCTGAAAGTCACAGCCTAAAAATAAAATTTAACAAAAAATGTATGGTTACCATGGTTACTTATTTTATCAACCTCTTTAAACATCTCCCACTGTCTCACCAACAGCATCACAATAATCACAACCAAGGGAAATGAAACAATGACAATAATATTCATAATCATTTGAATAACATAAAAATGTGAAAATGATTAATTATCACAAACAGTAATTATCAAATTGTTGGTGTGTGAAAAGTTTGATCAAATATCTCAATTAAATTTTCAGTATTGTCCATTTATCTTGAACACTCATGAAGCAAGACAACACTGAATCTGAATTCCCATTATCATTGATTGAAGCTTAAAAAATGTTTTTTCAACATGTATTTTATACCTGGTTGATTCATCAGAAGTGACCTAGTTTCTAAAGAGTGTATTCACTCATATCATAGCTTGAAGTAGGAGGAAAGCCCAAAGTGATACAGGTCTGAGACATTTACCACTCTGGTGAAACCCACGAGCACGGGTATGCTGCCAAGGATCAAAGCCAGCGCAAATCTGAGATTTAAACCCCTGATGCTAGCTTCTGACAAGCAACTCTGTCCAACTGGGCCACCTGCTATTTCAACTGATCAGCAAGATTTACAGTAAGGTATTGATCATGCTCATTTCTATAACTTCAAATACCACCCACAATTAGATGTACCACTCAGCAAACTGAACTACTTTCATTTCCTCCAGTGAAGGACAGCAGGGGAACATTCCCTCAGGAGTTACAGAGTGATGGTTAAACGACAATCACACTTTCCCAGGTGCCCATTATGTCCTGGCAATCTCACTGGGCACATTTACTACAAACACAATCTACTCCAATTTCGGAATTAATTGACCACAAAAAAATCCTTTTCCTTCCATTTTCACAATTCCTCCTTTGAGGTGAGTCAGCGTGTGACTATTCCATCCCCAGGATGTAATCCATGCAGAGATCATCCTTGAAATACAGATCGATATAAAATATAATCTCAGTTACTAGGCTGATGCATAGGGTCAAGGTTCGCCTGTGAGACATTTATCAGTGTTAATTAAAATGCCTATTTCTTGTTTGGCACGGTCCCTGGTTTATCCCCAGCAACTATCTGAAGGGCTTAGCCTCAGTCTGATAAATTTTGGATTAAACTAATACCTTATCATGAGGGGATCATCTCAAAATATATCAACCATAATAAGAATAACATACAAAAAAAACGAAAAGCCAAAAGGCATTATTGGAATAAAGTTGGTTGGTTTGTTGTTTAACGCTGCACTCAGCAATATTTCAGCTATATGATGGCAGTCTGTAAATAATCGAATCTGGACAAGACGATCCAGTGATTAATATCATGAACGTCGATCCAAGCAATTGGGATCGATGACATTCATCAACCAAGTCAGCGAGCCTGACCACCCGATCCCGTTAGTCGCCTTTTATGACAAGCATAGTCACCTTTTATGGCAAGCATGGGTTGCTGAAGACCTAATCTATCAGGAATCTTCACAGGTCTATTACAATAAAGGAAAAATAAACCAGATATATAAAAGTTATAAAGTTCATCATATATTTGTGTTTATAAAGAGAGCAAAACACCAGCTTATGTTGGTTGATATCATGGTTTTTTAACACATTTTGATTTGTTTTAGTAACATGTTCATTTCAAGAGCTACTTTTCGAAAATTGAACACTGAAACATTCAACATTTTCAGTTTTTCTATTTTCCAACTTGCCTCTTGGCATATTGATCAATACAGATAATTTGGTCTGGGTAATGCCATTTTCATTCCATTGAAAGCAACTGAACACAACCAACTATTCAATTACAATCCACAGGAACAAGCTGAACAGCAGATACACAGAATATTGTTAAACATTTCACAATATGATACACAATCTAAAAGGAATCTAATGTTACAAAATGCTTTTAAAACATGTATAAAAGAATAAATTGTCTCAAATATGCTTTACATTAACTCAAACATTTTTTGTATTTGATACATAAGTTTGCAAATGTTTTATGACAATACGTATTGTAGTGTAACCATGGAAACCACTGCCTCTTTCACTTTAAGACTTATAATGGGCACAATGCGTATCAAGGAATATGTTTATCTTTGTAATTACAATCACTTGTCAGCACAGGTGAGCATGTGGAGTACATTTGTTCCCTGACCTGTCATATTTCTGTGATAAATATCAATGTTTGTCGTACCATGTTTATACATAGGGAATAAATACTGATATATGACCATGTGATCTCAGTGTGTGTGTCTGCATATTTAGTCGACAACAACACCATATCTCTAACTAACATGTCAAGATTTTTATTTGTGATGTTCAAAATATTGCCTATAGTTGAACATGTTTGATAAAGAATTCTCTTTGAAGAGTTTTTTATTTAAGAAATAAATAGCAAGTGGGAGTTGTTTATCGTACAATAAAACACTGCAGGGAGAATAAACCATGAGGGGCGCATAAACAACAACCATTAGTCGCTTATTTCTCCTATGAGATATCAACATATTGTTCCGCCATTTTTAGGGTGTCAATCAATTGTACAAGGTTCAGAAACATTTACCGTATTTAAACAATGATGACAATCCAATCTTGGCAATGTTGGACAACTCCATTTTTTGTAAAGGGGGGTTAAGTTCAGAATCCTCACATCGATTATCTGTACCTTTTCTCCTAATACTGATCATTATATCTCTCCCACTTTGAAATGCAATCGTTCAGCCTAGGTGATCATCTGCGCTGTCCAGCTACATCTATGGGGAACAACTTACTAGACACTTCCCTCTCAAAAATAACATCCTCCGAATTTACGATGTCATCAAGTTGCGACTGCACAGCTGAATCTCCATAAATGACATCATGACAGAACAATGTTTATCGTGAAATAAACCACACTTCGTTCTTCATTGTTGTTTGCAAATTAACACGTAGCTGTCTAATATCATAATATTTGGCAGTCTTTTAAAATGATTCTCATCATGATCAGTTGTGTTCAAAATCAACAGAAACTGTGAGCATTCACTGTGGCATGGAACTACAGTAAATATGTTTATAACGAACACACTTATAACAAACGGATGGACATAAACTGTTTTTTCTGTCAGGGCCATTCACTGTATATTTTACCATATAAAACTTATGGACATAACGAACATGCTTACAACAAAATATCAGATATAGCGTACTCAGTTTGAGGTCCTGTGTGTACTCTGTCTACGACAATGCTGATGTATATAACCAACTGTTAATCTCTGAGCTGCTCATGAGTCACTAATCAGCTGCCATATGCGGCTGTTCAAAACACCAATAAACAATTGAAGGCAAGTGATTAACTGGGTTAAGTTGTGACACCTTGTCCTGAATTCATACCCTCCGTTAACAATAGTAAAACAGTGATTACAGCCTTGGAAGTGGTTATGTTCTGTCTGTAAAACTTGACGTCTGCAGTGAGGAAATTTAGTTGAAATGCTTACAACAAACTAAAATTAGTGACCCTTTGAGTTTGTTAAAACTGTAGTATACTAAAAATCATTACCCATGGAATCTACCTTTTGTTGGTTCTTCCTTATCCTGAAATCAGTCATTCAAATTTTTCGCCCTACCTCTACAGAGAAATTGGTCAACATAACGATTTGTAAAAAACTATTTTTCCGAAATTAGTGAGTAAGGTTTTATGCAGCTTTTAACAATATGCCAGCAATAATATGGCAGTGGACACCAATACTGGAATCGGCAAAATTAAATATGTTACTCAAAATAGACTCCGGATCGACCAGTCCTTCTGCCATCCCCCAAATGCCGAGCACCAGGTAACAAGTACCATCTTTTAACGAGTTTTGGTATGACGCGCCCAGGGATCGATCCACCGACCTTCCGCTCTCCGGGCAGATGCTCTATCCATTATACGATGGAGGCAGTCTTCCATGTGTGATTTGTTTGTTAATTTGTTGTTTAACATCATACTTAGCAATATTCCAGCTATGTGACGGCAGTCTGTAAATAATCAAGACTAGTCCAGACTATTCAGTGACTGATATCATGAGCATCGCTCCACGCAATTGGGATACGATGACATGCATCAACCAAGTCAGCAAGCCTGATTACCTGATCCCTTTAATGGCTTCTTACGACAAGCATAGTCCCCTCTTACAAGAAGCATGGGTTGCTGAAGACCTATTCAACCCGAACATTCACAGGTCTCCTTACATGAAGACACCCGTTACTTAATGTTAAATCAGCAGGTGTAAACACCCTATCCCAGTGGGGATTCAAGGATGGAATTGGACTTCATGAACCTGTGCTTGGCGACATGGTTGTTTAGTGCCATATAACCGACAGTGTGGGACAATGCTCATCATACTGATCACTGGGGTATTTACTCGGCTTATCTACGGCCATATACAGTCTTTTTCTTTGACAGATGGAAAGACTGGATTTCAAATCTTAAACCTACAACACTGTTTAAATTTACTGACAACAGGTACTTATCTAGGATTTTTTAACTAGATGACCAAAGAAGGCAAATGTTAAAAACAAACAAAAGAAACATTTTCAGTCCTTACTATATTACTGCATTCAATGCCATCATGTACAATTAAGTATACAAGCCTTTTCTCTTCATTGGTCCAAATTAGGATATTCCAATTTGGGAATACAAGACCAATATTTTCTGTAGACCTCTCAAAACACAAAAATAAATCCCCATATAAAATCTGATTCCAGGATTCAAATTTGCATGTTGTACATTTTGACCTGACATTGCCAGTCTGATGCAACAACAACAATTATTGATCTGCACCACATGTTGCGCTGTTTATATTGTTGTTGTGTTTACTCTAGCAACTGCCCCACCCTTCATCTCTCTGGCAGAATGGACCTTCGTTCA